CTCACTTATCCACCAACCGGTCGAGGCAGATGGCCGCCCTCCCTGAGCCTGGTTCTGCCAGAGGTTTCTTCCTGTTAAAAGGGAGTTTTTCCTCTCCACAGTTGCTCATAGGGATCAATTGGGTACAATAACTTTGTTGCTTTTTGGTCCGTCACATTGACCAAAAAGCAACATGTTCTTAATAGAGTGGCAAGTGAGTGTTTTACATTTTCCATCTGTGAACGGTAGCTTCTACCGCTCATTTATTGATTTGGCACCAATTTGGCACAAAATAAAGAAAACTTTAAACGACAACAAATGTTCTCATCTTTCTTCAAGTCATTTTCAATAAACAAATTCAATAAATCAAATTGCATTCAGAGTTATTCTTGTATTTCCTCGCGTAATTAGTGGCTATCTAGTCAGTAGCCTAAAGTGCAATATGTTAGCTACTAATAATATCTTTGTATTGTTTTTGTTTGGACCGATGCTCACAGGCTTGCTCCTGTTTGTTGTTGAGGAAAAATTATTTAAACATCGAAACCAAACCGATTTTCTGAGATTTATTTTAAGAAATTTCAAACCTCTGCAAAGGGATCAATAAAGCCGTCGTGTGGATACAATCTTGTCTATTCAGTGGTTGGGAGTGAAATTCTCACCTTCATGTAGGCACCAGCTTAATAATTAAGTGTGTCAGCAAGACCAGGTATTTAAGGAGCGGCTGTGGAAGCAGCCAAAGTAACTGCTGTTTCCCTTTCAAGCTTCCTAGTTTTTCCTGGAGTTCAGCCTTCAAGTTGATTCTTCCCTCCCTTAATTCAATTGACTTATTTGTAAGCTACATGTATGCTCACTAACAAAGCGAAATGAGCTAAATCTAATGGTGCTCTTTAAATTTGAAGAAAATCCAGTTCACTTTCTTTTCTCATCAGTCCTCTCGATTGTGTCTTGTAGCAGGTTTTTGGCTTTAACACATCAAAGATCTGATGGGTTGAGTTGGCCATAAGGCTTGTCAAAGTTTAATGTTGGTGGCTTATTGGGAAAAACAGTCCTGACAAAGTCAATCAGCCCCTCATCCCAAACATTAATGGATGATGCATGCATGAATACTCACCAAACATCATCTATAAAAAAGGATCTTTGGCTTTTAAAGGATTCCTTCAAAAGCAAATATTGCATTTCCTCACTTGGTCCATGACTATATTTGGGACAGTGTAATATCATGCCTGGAGTGATGAAAGTAAACTGGTTTTATGCTGCTAGTCTTCCTGCACAGTATATTTCTTTCCTAATGTTCTGCACAGTTTTCATTACAAATACCGATATTTTGTTCTGATGTGCACTAACTGGTGTATGTTCTGAATCACCATAAAGTTGCTAATAGCAAGAACACAACACAGCCGGGGGGTCTGCCACTCTTTGTTAATTCAGATCTCTTTTCACACAATACTCTTGTTGCTTCTGAGCCTCTCGTTTTACTAAAGGTTATGATGGAGCAGCAAGACTGAACCAGTGGCTGGATAACATGAGAAGGAAGGAGTGGAGACCTGTACAAACATCATGTCTTTGAAGTGCTCGCTTTAAAACGGAATGCTTTCTAAGAGTGAAAGTTTAAGAAAATCTAACTGTAATATTTAACATGCCCACTCTCCCCCTCCCCCCCCCCTTTGTACTAATTTAGGGAGCACAGCAGTTGCAGCCATTTTAAGTTTTCTTTTTTTGTTTTTTTTCTCATCTGTCAGAGGGGCAAGAGGCAATATTTTGGTAAGTACTGACACAGAGGTAAGTGACTCTCCAGGTTTATTAAAGAAGGAATCAGAGTTTGGCAGTGCTGCTAAAAATTCAAAATGATTGAATTTAAAAAATAGAATTTCTTTCATTTCAATATTAGAAAACCAGACTGTTTATATTCAGTGTTATTTATGCCATTTAAATTTAAATGCTCATTTTTGTTTTGTGTGTGTTGTTGACAAGTATTAAGACTAAGACACAGATTATTTTCTGTCCCAAGGAAGGTCGATACGTTGGCCTTTACCCAAAAGCAGACTCAATAAAAAAAGATCTTTTCACGGGAATACAAAGTTTCGTTTGTTACAGGAATCTTAATCACATGAACGTGGGTGAGAAACACTGGCAAGGACTCCAGTGTAACAGAGGGAAAGCTTGGTTAATAATGGGCAGGACACACTGGGAGCAAAGGTGAAGCACAACAACTGATTTTCTTAATTGCCTATGAGCTCCTGGAGTAAACCAATGTGCCAGGTTGGGGAAGTTTCACTCTTGGTGTTTCTAATTTATATGCAATTGACTGAAGCATATACATATTGAATTATTCACAGGACTTTGTACAAAATATAAATGTCTTCCATGTGTTATATTGTGGTTTGATGTTTGCATATGTGGATGTTTTGTTTCTCATTTTTTTGCTTCCTCCAGACTTGGGCTATTCCAGATGCTCACCTGAATGGTAGAGAATAAAAAGAAGGCAGTTGCTGTTACAGGGGTTGGGTTCTTTGGTGTGTTTTGGTGGGTACACTCATGCTTTCATTAATAAAGATTACTAGATGATAAATATTTTTGCAGCCTCATGCCATTTTGTTTGAACCTATACGTGACTGCTGGCCAAACTGATATAAAGTCTAAGTGAAGTAAATAAACTGCCTGTGGCTTCTCAGGAAGTCCTGCATTTGGGTCCTGTTATTCACTCAAACCTGACAATAACACATCACCCTGTTTTACCCACATCTGTAAATTTTCAGGCAGGGACGGAGACATCCTGTTACATTTACTGAGATCAGCAACAGACTTTCTGAATTCAAACCTCAATAAAAATGTGAAAATGACTCAGCTTTTTCTTTTTTTGTTTTTACAGCATTATGGACTATAAGTTAAAGCAATTACTGATGCAGTGAATGATGGTCAAAGGATTGATCTTTACACAGAGCACGTCTGTCCCTTTTTATTAGCCCATTACAATTATTCCCCCATCACTTTAAAAAGGCAACAAAACATGCATGTAACATTTCTTCAGAGATGTAATTC